AGAGCTTCCCAGGCTTCCTTTGATATAGTCAACCCTACCACATACACTAGTGGGCCATGTTTAATGCACAACCAAATGACTGATAGAGCTTTTTGGTCTTTTGCCTTCCATGCTGTCATTTTTGTGGTGTTACTCATTTCTGTTGGCATGGCATTAGTTCCATCTGCATAATTGAGTAAGTCAAGATCTGTTAAAATATTAATCATTTTGATTTTCCAGACCACATAGTTTTCCATGCCTTTCAGCATGTTAATACAGTGCAGGGGCAATGTCAAGGTGTCAGATGATATGATGGTTTAAAAGGCAGAGGTGCGAGATGTGTTGGTAAGTCAAAAATTGCTTACAAGATGAAGATTTTAGTTGTAGGCAGGGCCATAACCAGTTGGATAATAAAAAGAGAGTAGAGCAAACTGGTTGTTAATATTCAACATAGCTACTTAAATACCATGAAAAGCTAAGCATATGGATGAGTAACAAAAACACTTTGTACATAGCAAATTGTAATTAAAATCTCTAAATGACATTACAGTGTATGTTATGCCGGTGCACCCAATAATTGTGGGTATGAGGCTTGCCAGAATAAATCTTCAATATTCTTGAAACATGTCTAACTTCTCTTCAGGAACAGGTCACCAAACTGAATGCTACAATTGACAAACTACAAAACAACTTGAAAATACAGGATGTGTGTGTTTCTTCTGACACAGCCAGATATCAGGTGAACCTTGTTCTACTGTAGCTTTGTTTCACTTTGTTCAACCTGTTTTCAGAAGGAGGTTACAAAACTCAGCATCAAGATTGGAGAACAGGGAGCAAATGTAAAGGTACAAGATCTTATCTTGCATCATGTAGCCTCACAGAAGGTGAATCTAGTTTACTGCCTCTTTATTTTTCTTAGATTGATCACACTCTCTTTAGGAGGTTGCCAAGCTTCAGGCAATGCTTATGGGGCTTCAAAAAGACTACAGTGACACAAAAACACAATACAGGGAGAGTGCAGCATATGTGAGTGTTCTTGAGGAAGAACTTGGGGAAACTGTTTTGTTAATGCAAAACCAAACTCTAAAGGCAGATGAGCTCTTCACATCCAGGGACAATGTACTTGCAGAGGGGGCTTTGGTTTGTGATTCCTTGGTTTGTATTGATTATTCAAACTAACACAATATAAAGCTTCATCAAGAGCTTCACCTTTGTCAGGTGCATCTGAATGTGGGCAGCACTATAGCTGCTGTTGATTTGCTATTGCTGCAAGGTGTTGAGCTTAATCTAAATCAATTTCAGGAATACCTTGGCACTCCTGTGCATGAAGGGATGCTAGAAGCATTAGCTACAAAAGATGGTGACCAATATCATGAGGAAATTATGCCTATTGCAGTAGATGGAGAAACCAGGCTTTTGTACCAACTGGAGAATATGGACATTGATGATGACTCTCAGCCCATTACAAGGCTGACTCCTAAAGCTGCAGGAAAACAGCACAAATAGGCCCTGAAATCTATGCTGCTCTTGGGCAAAAGGAGAAAGTACAACTTCCTGAACTCCTTTGTCATGCCTGATGGCAGCCAAGGATTGCCTGTGGCCCCCACTCACATGCATTCCTCTGAGCCTTCAGGGCCTCCTCCCTTATTTAGTTTGCAGAGGTTGACAATATTTCATTCTCAGACACAACTACATCTATCAACCAGTGCTTCCATCATGCTCAAGATACCCTCAAAGCAGAGGCAATGAGACCAAGAGCTGTATGATGCTTATCAACCTTTGCTGTGCAAAGGTTTGACTTCCCTCCCCACATCTACTCCTGTAGTCAAGAATGAACAAATACAGGCACAGGCATCCACCTCAGCACAGGCAGATCTTTTGCAAGGCAATGAAGTAATTTTAAAAGCTTGACCAACTTGCCAGGGCACCTTGTGGCTGAGGGGTGGTTATTTACCCAACAGTGATAACAATGCAGGTATGCAGGATGATTCAGAGAATGACAACAGCCTGATAGGTGGTGGAGATGACAATCATAAGCAAATGATGCAGACAACAATAAAGGCCTCAGGGGTGGCATAGATGAAGGCCATAATGGGGATGACAAGGATGATGAGCACTCAGAAATAGGGATTCTCCAAGAGGAGATAAACCTCTTATACCTTGTGAGGATCATATGGAAGACCCTAAAATGCCACAGCTTCTGCATATGATGATATGCTTAGGCATTTGATGGTCAGAGTCCTGATGAGTCTGAAGGTGACCAATACTGGGCCAAGATAAAAGCTTAGCATTACCCCAATATTACCTGATTACTTTGCCACATAGATGATTATCAGTCCAGCACCAACATCCAAGGCAATCAACTTCCTGGTTCCATCCCTCAAACTCAGTTCATCCAGAGGAATGTCCACACCAACTGTCCTTATGGAGATATTCCTAGTGGTCTCCCAGAGAATTTATATAATGATATATGGTTCAATTCTCTTATTCCATCCTACCAAAGGGATCTCAACATACAAGCAGTAATCATGCTCCCTGTTTTGGAAGAGGCCAAGTAATCATAATTAGAACCCAGTTCCCACCTCACTCTTTATCAATTAAACTTGCAGGTTGAAGATAGGTACAGGCTTGATGTGACTCCTTCAGACAACAATTTGAACAACAGTTTTCATCTTAACCAAGGTTGACCCACTAAGATTTCTACATTTTCTACTTACTTTAGTTACTTCCTTCTCTACTTCATCCTCTATCCACAACATTTGGGCCAGAGCCCTCTTCTGCAACTCCTGGCCCTAATATCATTGCATTCTCAACACAACATGCTCAGCCATGTGCAAAAGATGCAGATGTGGTACTGGGATTGTTGGACAATGGTGTTTTGCTTAGATCAGTGAAAAGCCTTCTTTAAACAAAATTTTTTGCACAAACATATTATGAGTAGTAGGTATGTATTGTGAAAATTGTTTACAGTGAAAATGATTAAAAAAGTATGGTTATGAATTGCAAGTGAGGTCAATGATGTACATGGTGGATAAGGCACCAATGACAGATGATGATAATGATGGTTGTGTGCACAAGACCCTTCTTCTTCCTCTTTTCCCTTTCCACATCTCCCTCCATTACCCCACCACTCCACCTATGCTTGTATTCTCTGCCCCTTTCTGTTGATGGAGAACTACCACTGCCTCCTATGCCCAGACTTGGACTACACTGGGCATTGCTGTTAGTGGTTTTAATGGTCCACTACCAAAGACATCACCTCCACCCCTTCCTGACTTACCTCTACTGGGGATAGAAGAGCTGAGGTATGAAAAGGCTGGAGCTGCCATTTCTGCCACCTCCTTATTTTGACCAAGCAAATCAGATGTCACTTTATCAATGGTACAACATTTAGGTAAGTCTTGGCAGAGTGATGGAGATGTCATGTCCTTATGCTGAAATGTCCACAGCAAAACAATTTGGAAAGCAGATATTTCTGCCAGTTGATATGCTATTGTTGTTTATGTCAATTGGGCAAGGACCAAAACTATGATTTTGGGCAGAGAAAGGGATAGTTGCAACACTGATAGAGATAGAAAAAAAATGGAAGTGATAGGATCAAAGTAGATGAGAGGAGCAGCTAAAACTGTTTATTATTTCTGACAATAGAGAGAATCAATTCTAGATTACATATGTACAAACCCTGAGCCTGTTGTGGTGTAACATAGCACCATTGTAGTCCCTTCTTTGCCATAACTACCATCTGATGTCACCTGGAGCATTGAATACACCAGTAGAGATTGGGAGACCTGCAGCTCCAGCTGCACATTGCTTGTAGTCTGCCTTAGCCACTGGACATGTCAGAGGTTGAACTATACATGCCTGATACAAACCAAAGCTTTGATCTGCCCTGTTCTACATCAAGGGTGCCCCTGAGGTCATGATGGATATTTGCAACCCAGAGTCATGTATGTTATTTATTTCCTTTTGTTACCCAAATACTGACACCTAGAAGTTCCTTGGGACTATGACAATCTAATGTCTATTACACAAAGCATGGTTATTTTTTAAATTCAAAGCCTCATTATGCTATTTCTGAAGACTTATTTAGGGAGCAAGCAGAATCAGGGACGCATGTCTTGGGTCTCATAATTTTCAAAAATTGCCTTAAGTCTAGTACTATACCTGCTATTCAAGCCTTGCAAGCAGCCTATTTAGTTTGTTGGATGATCACTATTGATAACTCTTTGACAGCAGTGAGCATTGCTCAAGAATGTGGCCTCATTCATTAAGCAGCCCACGTCTTCTCCACTGTCTTTATCAGAGGTGTGTCTTCATGGAATCCTCAAATCCAGCTTGCATAGATATGCAAACATAGCTGATTCAAAGCTGAAGTGCTCATGCACTAATGACTTATCTTAGATGCTTGACTCCCACAGCCTAAAACCTCTCATACCACACCTCATCATACTGTTGAAACTGACAAGCTAGATTATCAAGACTATTGTCTTGTGGTGACAGGTGATGCCTTCAAGTGGATGATCAATCATGCACTACTAAAACTTTGCAACATGTAAGCTCTGCAACTGTTGGCAGACTCATGTTGAGCCACTCTCCTCATCAGCCCAGGCTGCCCATGCTGTACAGACCTTGTATCTCTATTCTGCTTCAGCACTACTAGCACTGCAGTCCTTGTTGACAGCATCCCTGCAGCATCTCTAGCTAATTCATCAATTGATAATAGGCCCTGCAAAACATCAAGTTTCTCAGCTTGATGATCAGCAGCCTTCATTAGCTTCCCTGTCCTTGTCATCTGGTCATAATCAGTTGGCTCACAGTGTGTCATTGAGGGGAAGCACCACTGCTAGCAGAAACACCCCATCATTAAGGGCACATTGCTACCACTAACCAGAAAATTTGGAGGGTACTTTCACCATTGATTCCCAATTCAGGCCTTCCAATCAGGCTCTGTTCTATCCACCTCCTGCTACATATCAGCAACAATAGCTGATAGGCCCTGGTTTCATTAAAATCTGATAATATAAACACACTAGGAATTGAACCTGGGACCTCTGCAAACATGGGCAGATGCTCTAACCACTGAGCTAGGTAGTCAGGTACAATTTGGAATTAGATATTCAATGATATACTCAAGGCTGATCATAGTCTCCTACTGCCATCTAAGTGCACTGTGGGAACTGGCACAAGCAATGTATATGGATGACTCAGAGGATCCTTCCTATTAGATGACTTGACCCATCATTATCTAACATTTTCCCTAGATGTAGCAAGTCTTTAAGACTTATTAACATATTATCAGAGGTCACAAAGTTGAGCTAGCACAATGGATGCACCTACTACCATCCAAGTGCACTGTGGGAACTGGCACAAGCAATTTATATGGATGACTCAGAGGATCATTTCTTTTAGATGACTTGACTCATTATCATTTAACAGGTTCCATAGCCAATTCTGCTTTGACTCCCACAAACTCATATACTAACATGTATTATAATAGGTCTGTGATACAACATGGAAAGAGGGCTCCACCTAGTCTTGAGCCTGGGTCCTCTGTGTATGCTACTTGCTCACCTCTTTGTGGGCTCAATCTGCCAAGTTTGGCTTCCTTGATGGAGTCCTATTCACAACAATTCCAGTACTCACCAAATACTGCATCCTATCCTTACACTCTGCTGCAAGATCAATGCATGTATCCTGCCCTGTATCAGTTACACAGCCACAATCATTCACAAGTGAAGACTGAGTCCATGACCCCTCCAGTCAACTCACCCTATACATCTCACAACCTGCCAATAAGCTCTGCTGGGCCATACTCAACATATTATGCCATGTACATGTTGAGCTCTCATTCTCCTGCCTAGATTCAGACCCATCTTTTGCCTCATGCTCCTAGTAGATACAACCTGGTTTTAAACCTACCTACTTCACTGTCATATCTACACTTGCAAAGTCTGGTACTGCAGTTCTACTCCCAAGACCAGATGGCTGTTGATCTTCTACCACAAAGGCAATACTCAGCTGGGTTCCAATGTATGCAGACAACTCATAACCTACAGCTATGGACTTATATTCCAATTACAGAAAGAAGGATGACAAGTAATGGCACTTACCTATCAGTATGTTCCCCTCTCTTAATAGCAACTTGAGAGACTTTATTGACTTGAAAGCAGCTACTACAGCAACTGACCACCAACATACTGGAGATATATCATATCTGCAACCCCACTTTTAGATATGAATCAACTCACAATCCCAATCACATTTTGGTAAAGCCCAGTAAGCCCACACATAATGATGATAATAACTATATTTTATATGTTAATGATTGGTTGAAAATGGAAGAGGGCCACAAGTACATGTACACATTCTGGGGAGCAATTACTTCTGAATCTTGCAACCAGATACCTGATTCTGTTGTTGCACCAGTACCACTCACAGACAATCTTAGTGGATTGAGGGAGGTGGTGATGTCCAATGTAAGATTAGTGGCAGCATCAGGTGCAGGAAATGCACCTGTGGATGGAGGGGGCATATTTGTACCTGGTGGGCAGGTGATTGACCTGCAGAAAATCTTGGTGGATGACAATAGTGGGCAAAAGGAGGTGGTGATGTCCAATGTAAGGTTGGCAACAGCATTGGGTGCAGAAAATACACCTGTGGATAGAGGGGACATGTTTGTGTCTAGTGAACAGGTGATTGCCTGCAAACAATCTTGATGGATGATGATAGTGGGTAGAGGGTAGTAATGTCCAATGTGAGGTTAGCAGTAGCATCAGATGCAGGAAATGCACCTGTGGATAGAGGGGGCATGTTTGTGCCTGGTAGGCAGGTGATTGCAAGCCCACTGCAGGCATATATGAGCAACAGGCCACTGCAAAATACCCAACAGCAGCAGCAGCAGCAGCAACATAACCTGTTTGCCATGTCTGACAGTCTGCAGCCCATGGGGGGCTCAAAGCACATGTGGCAGAGGCTCTGGAGGGTTGATGGATCAGTGGCAAAGTATTTCTTCCTTTCTATATATCTCTGTTGTGAATTGCTTCATTTACTGTTTGCATCTTGTCATACTTGCACTCCCTTTCCTCAATCCACAAAGTCAACAAAGCTCCATATATTTTCTACACTCATTCAATCTATGCTAACAAATGTGATGTGATGGATGGGGTTTGATAGGACCAATGTAGAGGCCCAAGAGATGCAGCAGGAGGGAAGAGAGCTGCAGATGTGGATGGTTACCATAGTCAGATAGATGTCATTTTTTTTTGAAGGCAGTATGTATCTTGTCTTGTAAGCATGTGTTCCACACCTTCTATTGCCTTGTTGATAGTTGCCTAGGGTATTGGTATGAGTGTCATTCTGTGTGCACAGTTCACCTACTCACATAGCACAGCTTGGATTGGCTTTTGTCTCAAAGCCATTCCATAAAGCACTCAATATACCTGTTGTCAGTAACCCCCCAACCCCCCCACCCCCCTATCTGCATGCTTTTTTTTTCAATCTGTAATCATGTGTCTTATAGCCTACAGGCATTCCTTGTTTGCACATACCATTGGGTAACTGCCTTCTCCATAGTCACAATATTTAGGTCATTCCTTGCTGCTGTGTATATTTTATTATTCATCATAACTATCACCTAATATTTTTGGCATATTTTTTAAGATTTTACCTTTTTTTACTGATCAATGTCTTGTACTTACTCTCCACATATCATTACTTGAACTCACATGTAGTGCACTAATCTGCTGTTACTAATATATTGAATTTGATGGTTATTTATAGGTTTGATTCCCTTTGACACACTGAGCCAGATAATGCATGTATGCTTATTGCATGCTAAGCATGACACTTAGTGTGTGATTGATGTTTCTTTGAGTGTTGTGCTGAAGGCTAAAATACTCCTCATACACAGTTGCTTTCACAGGAACACTATCACTGGCAAGGAAGGCCATGAAGTGGCCACTATATCAAATATTTCAAGTCTTTGAAAACAGTTTTATTAAAGAAAATTTATGGAAATTTCTAATTAATTTTTATTTAGAAATGCAATAAAGATAACCCACAGAAACACCTAAAAGGAACAGCACAAAGGTATTCTGAGAAATATGGATCAAAACACTTCATGTGTTTCCAGAGAAATTAGCACCAGAAAAATTTCAAGTTTTTTGACAAAAGAAGGATAAAAAAATATTAAGTTTTTCTTACATATTTCTGACAAAACATTTAAAAATTATCTATTAGAAATACTTGTTAGAAATCATGTGACATGTTTCTAACAGGTGTTTTCTCAGGAAACATTTGAACCATCCTGAAGTGATATTCTCATGCTATAAATGTTGCAGGCACCATCTGGAGAACCACTTTGTCCCAAAGTGGCCCCCTAGACCTTTTGAGCTGCTTGCATCAGTGTAGACATCAAAGGCATGGTGTGAAGTGGAGAGGAAGCATAGGCCATTCCATTTTGCTGCAGTGGAGTGCCACCATATGATGTCCCAGCATGCTGGTGAGGGGATGTGTCTCCTGGCAAAGCACATTGTAAGGAATGTGGCTGAGAAATTGTATAGCCATCAGAGGAAGGCACAAGAGAGAGGAATGACCTGTGAGGCAAATTGAAGGAACTCAGTAAGCTCATCAAGCTTGCAGCATGTACAGTGTGTTCTGGCAGACCATGTCTCAAGCAGATCATAGAGGTAGTCAAGTTTGTCAAGAGGGAGGTGTACCTCCATGTTGACTGAGTCAAGTTTGAGTCCAAGAAGCTCGATGGAGGAGGTGGGGATGAGGATTTTTGATAGTTGAAAGCTCAGGCCAAGCTGAGATCCTAGCTCCAAGGCCCAGGACAGTGTTTGAGTTAGTAGGTGGGGAGGAAGGTGTAGTAGAAAGATGTCTAACAAGATATTGAGGTAGTGGCATATGTATGCAGGAATGTTTCACTGCAGAATCCAGTGCAGCGCTTCAGCAAAAATGTTAAAGATGTAGGAGGCAGAGCAGCATCCAAAGCCCAAGACAATATTGTAGTAGAATTTTTCCAGCCAGGTGAAGCCCAGGAGGGGCCAGTCACTCACACATGAGGGTATGTGGCAGAAGGCTGATTCCAAGTCTAGTTTAATCATGATTTAATCATGAGACAGCCCAGCCCTGCTGCTTGGAGATTGGCAATGGCATGTTCAACCATATTGTACTCAATGGTGTCTTCAGATTTGGAAATCCCATCCTTGACCAATGTGCCATTGGGCCAGGAGAGATGGTGTATGCAGTGCACCTTGGCCAATCACTTGTGAGTTACTGCACCCAGTGGTGAGGTGCAGAAGTTGCAGAATGAAAGTTCAGTGAAGGGGCCATGCATTCACCCATTGGCAACTTGTGCAGCTATGTCAGCAGAGAGGGTGTCAGTGGTAATAAAGTTCTCAAATGTGGTTTTGAGATTTGTACACTTCTGAGTCAATGCATGATTGGTGGAAAAGCCAAGATTGGCACCAAACTATATGATTTGAGTAAGGGTATGTACAAGGGTGCAGTCAGGGTAATCTTGTAGGTAAAATATCCATGCTGATTTATTCAGGGAGGATGTGATGTCGGTGGCAGCTGCATTATTGACATGAAAGGAGAGGATGCAAAAATAGTGCTGGTGAGGGATGATGACGGAAAAGTGGTTTTATATTCCTTTACTGCATGGGTGTTGACTTCAAACTGGTTCGTTGAACCATTGGAGGTGTAGGCTGCCTCTTTGTCATTTGGTTGGGTCCAGCTTGTGCAAATAGGTAGCTTTGAACTCATGTGTAATGCTGGCCACAATGACGACTGCCTCGATGTCAGGGAAATAGGAGCGAAGGGAATGCAGAGATGCACTGTGGGCATTTGTCAGGGATACGGGTGGCACCACTGGGGTTATCACAGGTGACGGTGTGCTGGGGACGGGGCTGGGCGCAATCCTCAGAGCCATTTTTTTCATGATCTCAGTGAGGGACGTGACTGAAGCACGAAGCTCAGAGAATTCTTTGAGGGATGGAGAGGACATGGTTGTTTGGTGGCTGGGGATGGGGTCAGGAATTAGAGGGGCTGGATTCCATCCAAATAACTCTTACAGAGGAGAAGCTCCA